TCCCGCAATCGTCATCACTTCTCATCCCGCAATCGTCATCCACTTCTCATTCCAATCGTCATCCACTTGACATTCAAGATCCACCTGTCATTCAGGATCCAGTTGTCATTCAGTCACCATCACAAATTTCTCACAAGACAATGATTGTGGCACTCAAATACAAGCAAACATGGCATCCCTTCACGTCACAAAAAAGGCTCGCAAGTGCAAACGCCGGCATGCATCCCTAACCAAGCAAGGACTTCCATTGATGCACCGGTGAATCCTTTGAAAATTGAATGAACGCCATCTCATATGCGTCCTCACGCAAGCGGCATCATCCACTTCTCATTCGATGATCACACCTCATCCAACCGGCATCAATCTCATTCAGCCGGCATCAATCTCATTCAACCGGCATCAATCTCTTGTCACTCGAGATCCACACATCGTACAATCAGCATCACAGACTTCTCTTTTCAAGTCGTCACACAACATTGATCGCGGCAATCAACACAAACACGACCCGGATCACTTCAAGGAAAGAGCTCACAAGTATGAACGCCTGATTGGGGTCCAAGTCAGCCAAGATCTTCCTCTTTCGATCGGATGAAACCTTTCAAAATTCATGAAAAGTCATCTCGTACGTCACTCAAGATCGCTCTTATGCTTTCACCTCACCGTCTTTGGCTTTACATCCGTTCAACATTAATGAAGAAGTCCGTCATCGTTGATTGATTTGAAGTGAGGTCGATCAAGCCGGTCAAAGTTTCTTCATTCATGATGTCTCTGCACTCGTAATCATCGGGCTCTTACAAGTAAGCACTGGCAGTTTCTGGAGAAGAAGAGACTCGTGCAGAAGAAGGAAGGGCAAAAGGTGGGGAAGAAGGTAGAAGCGCAAGACCTAACGCAACATTCCATATAAGGTTCGTCAAGAGTCACCGGAGCAGTTCGCAAGATTCCACACAAGATTCGTCAAGAGTCACCGGAGTAGTTCGTAAGATTCCATATAAGGTTCTTTAAGAGTCAGCGGAACAGTCGCAACAGAAGAAATGGTGCAAGTCGCAACAGAAGAAATGATGCAAGTCGCAACAGAAGAAATGATGCAAGTCGCAACAGAAGAAATGGTGCAAGTCTCAAAGCAAGATGCCACACAGAATTCATCAAGAGGCTGCTTCAAATGCAACACAAATTCCGTCAAGAGACTGCTCCAGATGCCACGCAGAATTCGTCAAGAGTCAGCGGAGCAGTCTCAACAGGAGAAAAGGTGCAAATCTCAACAGAAGGAAGTGGTGCAAGACTCAACAGAAGATGCCACACAGAGTTCATCAAAAGTCAGCGGAGCAGTCTCAACTAAAGAAGTGGTACAAGTCTCAACAGAAGAAATGGTGCAAGTCTCAACATAAGATGCCACACAGAATTCATCACAGTATGCCAAACAGAATTCATCAAGAGACTGCTCCAGATGCCACACAGAACTCGTCAAGGGTCAGCGTAGCAATCTCATCAGGAGAAATGGTGCAAGACTCGACACAAGATGCCACACAGAAATCATCAAGAGACTGCAGAGCAGTCTCAACAGGAGAAATGGTACACTTGACATCAACAATTGTCTTTCTTCTGCCCTCTTTTTCCACGCTCCCACTTCACACTTTTTGACTGCTTCTCCCAGTGACATCCGTTCAACTTTTCTGAAGAAGTTCATCGTCATATGCTGGGTTGAAGTGAGGTCGATCAAGTCGGGCAAACTTTTCTGTATTTGAGGATGACTCTGCACTCGCATTCAAAGGTCTCTTGCAAGCGATCACTTGCAGTCGAAGAAGCATTGGTCTTGAGCGCAGACCTCTTCGGATGACGGATCAAATACACTTCATCAAAGAAGCGTCTATCCTGTCCGACTTGTTGGCGTAAAGAGAGTGAGATGAGCCAGAGCTTCTCGTTTCGCAACTTTCCAGAGACCCTCCTCGAAACATAAACACCTAAAGGGAGAAGTGGGTGATGACTGTAAAATAGGAAGAGGATGATGACGGTGGAATGAGGAGAAGATGATGACGGCGGAGTAAGAAGAGACTGTTGGTGGCCTCTTCTCATCCGCATTCAAACGCCGACCAGATAAGACCTTTCGAGATTCATGAAAGATCATCTCGCAATATAGGGAAAACTCTACGAATTCTGAAAACTGTGAAACGAATGAAAGAAAGGTATATAAAGTCCGCCTTTTTAGCCTGACTCCAACCCCCAACACCCACATCTCATTCCAATCATCATTCACTTGTCATTCAAGACCCACTTCTCATTCCAAATCCAAAAGCCCCCTTATCATTCAAGATCCAATTGCCATCAAATCAGCATCACAAAACAATGATTATAGCACTCAAATACAAACAAGCATGACATCACTTCGCAAGAAAAGCCTCACAAGTGCAAACGCCAGCATACAACCTAGCCAACCAAGATCTTTTTTGACGCTCCAGGAAAGACTTTGAAAAATTCAACGAACGCCATCTCATATGCATCCTCACTCAACCGGCATCATCCAATCCTGATTCATAGATCACAGCTCACTCAAGCAGCATCATTCTCTTCTTGTTCGAAATCCACCAATCGTACAATCAGCATCACACACTTCTCCCACAAACAACTAAATGGGGCCCAAATCAAGCAAGTGTTTCCCCGATCAATTCGAGAAAATCCTCGAAAGATCAAGGAGAGCAGTCGAGTACATCGCTTTTCCCTTTGCCAATGCACACAAGATCAAAGTTCGAACGCATTTACCGAACAATCGATACATCATCAGCCGGAATGGTGCACTTGCCATCGCCATTACTCAACGGTTCCAGAATTCAATTCACAAACAACTTTCACGGTAAAGAAGGTATTACTTGATCATCAATCAAAATGGCGATATGATCACTCCTGCAAGCAACATCTTACACGACACTTGCTTTCTCATCTTTACGCTACCCTTTCTTGGGATCAAAGAACTCGTTCTTTGCTATTCTCACTCCTCCTCACACTCCTCCGCACACTCCTCCTCGCACTCCTCCTCTCACTCCTCCTCTCACACATCCTGAAGCGACATTTCGCTTTGCAACTGCATTGAAAAAGAAGATCAGAAAAAAGAAAAAGAAAAAGAAGATCAAAAGAATAAAGATAAAAGAATAAAAATAAAAGAAAAGATCAAAAACAAAATCAAAAGAAAATCACAAAAAAACAAAGAAAAGATCTACTTCTCATTTAAGAATCACTTCATACCCAGCCAGCATTACCTACTTCTCATTCCATACTATCTCTATCACCAACACTCACTTCTCATCCCGCAACCGTCATCCACTTCACATCCCGCAATCATCATCCACTTCTCATTTCGTCATCATCAACCTCTTATCATTCAACATCCATTTGACTTTTCAAGGCCTACTTGTCATTCAAAATCTACTTATCATTCAGTCAGCATCACAAATTTCTCACAAGACAATGATTGTAGCACTCAAATACAAGCAAACATGGCATCAATTTACGTCACAAAAAAAAGCCTCACAAGTGCAAACGCCAGCGTGCAACCCAGCCAGCCAAAGTCTTCCATTAATGCTCGCCATCTCATATGTGTCCTCGCTCAAACGGCATCATCCACTTCTCATTTGTGGATCATAGCTCATTCAAGCGGCATCATTCACTTTTCACTTGATGATCACATCTCATTCAACCGGCATCAATCTCATTCGACCGGCATCAATCTCATTCAACTGGCATATTCTCTTTTCATTTGAGATCCACCCATCGTACAATCAGCATCACACACTTCTCTTTTCAAGTCGTCACACAACATTGATCACGGCAATCAATGCAAACACGACCCGCATCACTTCATGAAAAGAGCTCGCAAGTACAAACGCCTAAATGGGGCATGAATCAGCCAGCACCTTCTCTTTCCGATCGGATGAAACCTTTCAAAATTCATGAAAAGTCATCTTGTACGTGACTCAAGATCGAATCATGACATGGCATTCGAACAAGTGGGACAGCAGAAGAAATGGCACACCCTTGACATCAATATTTGTCATTTCTCTGCCATCTTTCTTATGCTTTCACCTCACACTCTTTGGCTTTATATCCTTTCAACATTACTGAAGAAGTCCGTCATCATTGGTTGATCTGAAGTGAGGTGGATCAAGCCGGTCAAAGTTTCTTCATTCATGATGACTTGGCACCCGCACTCATCGGGCTCTTACAAGCAAACACTAGCAGTCTCTGCAAAAGGAGGAAGGGCAGAATGTGGGGAGGAAGGGAAGAAGGTGGGGAGGAATGGAGGTAGGGGGAAGGAAGGGAGGAAGGTGGGATGGAAGGTGGGTGGAAGGTGGGGTGGAAGGTGGGGTGGAAGGTGGAAGTGCAAGATTCAACACAAGATGCCACACAGAATTCATCAAGAGGCTGTTCCAGATGCCACACAGAATTCGTCAAGAGTCAGCGGAGCAGTCTCCTTGTGAGAAATTTGTGATGCTGATTGGATGAAAACTGGGTCTTGAATGACAAGCGAATGATGACTGGAATGAGATTTGGGTGTTGAGGGTCGCAGTCAATCCGAAAAGGCGGATTTTATATAACGTACCTTTCAGTCATTCCTTTCACAGTTTTCGGAATTCGTGTGATTTTCCCTATACGGTCAAGTATGTCAAATCGAATGTGACAGGTCAACTTACAATAAACCACATTAGTATCACATGAACAAAAAGATCATCCAATCGCTAGCATGATTCACAGATTATGATATATCATTCACAATGTTCTTCACTTCCATTTTTACGTACTTCAAGTACAACTTATCGTGGTAATCACATTTGGAAGAACGATTAGAAGCGCAATGGCAACCATAGTTCGCGAGAGACAATTGTAAGGACCACTTTCCGCTGAGGAGAGTTTCGATCATGTTCAACGGACAGAGGGCCAAAAGCATCTTTGAGAAGATCATTTTGCTGTGAATCTTTTATTTGTACCAATAATGGATGAAGTCATTGTTGGAAAGCCGAAAGGATGTAGCTCTGAGAAAGATATGATATTTGATACAAGAAGGAAGGCGGCTTGGATAAAAGTACAAATGTTTTTTTGTCTCTAGATGATTAAAAATACAAATTAATTTCTGGTTTGACGATTGACATTCCTGCGAGTGATCAAAAAGCTCCTGAATTGTCCATATGCTAAGCCTGCCATACCAAATACCGCTCCTTGAACGATTGGTGAAAGAAGTTGATCGCGTAAAGTGAGATAAAGTAGAGGAAACCATTCAATTCGCAATCTTCCAATCCAAAGTTCTGGTTCCCCATGCGATGATCTTGTCGTTGTTATATCTAAGAGGTTCGAATCAGAATTTTTACTTTCCCCTTCAATTTGCGATTTGACTTCCGAATCGTTCCATTGGGAGCTTTTCATCAATCTGGCTTTTTGATCATCTTCTTCGTGTATGAATCCACGTATTGAGGCTAAATAAGATTGTTCAAATCGTAAATCTGGTATGCTTTTGATGGGTACATTTCTGGTTTTGCGTACATTTGATCGTTTACTTGACCGATCTGAAAGAGTATTGCTTGAGGAAGGACCACTTACGCCATCTTCAGATTTTGATGAACTGAGGTTGTACATTGTTGGGTTGGCGTATAAATTGTTGAATATCAAAAGATGGTGATGGCAAGCAGTTGATTAAGATTACGTCACAATAAATGACTGAGCAAAAGAAAAGCCAAGCGCGCCATTGTTACAACACTGCATTTACGCCTTCCTCTATCCCTTTTTATGGCCCGAGCGCTGAGCACAATTGGTGGTTAATCAACTTGGGGGTTAATGATAGAAAACGGTTTCATCTTTATCAAACACATACCATCCACAAATCAAATCCATCATTTTAAAAAACTTGAATTTCGTACGTATCAAAAGAAGAATTTATCCATCCATCCTCTTTACTGAACCATTTCCTATTCATCAGACATTCCCATCAAGCTGACCATGTCTTCTCAACAAAACAAAGACGAAGAACAAAAGTTTACCATCCAACCACATCCTCAAGATAATCATTCAAACACAAATGCTCCTTTGCAACCTGTAAATGCTACCCAAGCTGCACTTTCAGGCACTCCGGGTCCTGTCGTGATTGATCCAGCTACGGCTAGCAAATTGGAAACTCCAAAAAGCGAGGAAGAACTCGCTCAATTATCTGCAAAATTGAACAAGAATGATTAAGGATTTCATCGTACGTCATGTATTCTGATGCAATCTGTTCTCCAATATCTTGTTGAATAGTCTACATTGATGTAAAGTACGTTTTGCCTTGAAGTCAATCAAACACTGTGAGAGAGAAAAAGAGAACGATATTTCGGTATGAGAATTAGCTTCTTTAATAAATCTTTCATATGCTCAGAAGAGCAACGAACGTAAACGCACCATGTATCAAAGCTGTCCAAAGTGTCCACCACAAAACATATCCAAAAGCCATCTCCTGAGCACCTTCTAGCAGAAACGATAGATAAGGCCATAGTAATGATCGTGTGCCGTTTGACTGAAGCTTTGCGCTTTTATTTTGTCCTTTCTTCTCGATCGGGACCGGATTAAATGAAAACAGATATCTTTGAGGATCAAAATGTACGTTGAACAGCAAGATAGCCAAATTTGTGATTAGAATGGTGCCCAGGTAAAGATAAAAGCCAGTAAAATTGATTAAACCTAAAACGCCTGCTAACGAACCTGCGACAGAGGTAACGACGGATCGAATGCTTATGATGATTGAATTGAAGAATGTGTGAGATCGATCGGAGTGATCAGGTCAGCAAAAGAACTGGGAATGCGTGTTGCAATCATACTTACTAATACAGCTGCTTCGCATTATGAGCTACATTTTCTGGACAAAAACGTTGCATATGGAGCTGTTGTAATATCTCCATTGGAGCACCTACTGCACCAGGTTGACCTGCTGAGTCCATCTTGTAAAGTGATGTATAAAAGTGAAAATTGTTGATTTGACGCCGTACTTTTTGAGAAACGGTGAAGGGAATGAGAAGAAAGGTACGAACTAGATTAAACGTCGCGGCGCATAAAAAGAATACTCACTCTTCTTAAGCGGCACACACACACACACACACACACAC